AGGTTGTTACCACAGTAGCACTGGCACCTAGGACAGTGCTTGGGACCTAGCAGGCTCTCAGACTTGTTCAATATTTGAAAGGCAGATACAGAATCCTTATTTTCTACATAAGAGTCAGTTTTGCCCAGAAACAGGAAAAATAACAGCTATCCAGTTTCCCTTCAAACCCAAGGTTTTCCTGTTACAATTTGTTCAGAGCTGTACACAGTATTACCACTATTGCTACCAAATATTAAGGAAGTATTTTGAAATTAAATTTAGTCTAATTGTTACATTGGCCCTAGGAAGGAGGTGTCAGCTTTATAAACAAACAAGTTCAGACCGAAAACACAAAGGAAGTGGAGAAGGTGGCATTCACTCAGGGCAATGCTTAATATTATAACACTATTTGGAATGGAAAATTATACAACTAAAACTATGATCAATCTTGAGACAAAAAAAATCTCTCGCAAACACACACACGTATACCACCACCTGTATAGTGCGATTATATAATAACCCAACCTTAGGAAAAAGAGTTCCACTGCCAGAAAATGCATTTTTTTCTCATTTTATTAATATTTTCAACAGCTGCCATTTGGTTTGTATAGCAAAATTTTTAAAGTAACTTTTTTCCTATTTCTGATACTTTTATGAAAATTATTTATTTTAAAGCCCTGCTTCTCCCCCAAAGAAGTATTAATAACTACCATGTAATGTTTATGGGGGAGAGACAAAAACAGCTTTTAAACACTTTGAAACAGGGATAAAGGTCCAAAGTCAAGACCCGGGCCTGCTGGAGGTGCTAAGCTGCCTGTGGACACCATCAACGCTTCACCACCCACACCAAGAGAGGGGGGCATGCACAGATCTCTGGGCTTCTTGTTCCACAAGCTGCACTTTCTCCTCTGCACCTCCTCTGATGCTGGTCCTCCTGTCCCCAAAATCTGTCCCACAAAGGCAGCATGATCTTGAACAAAGGTTCCACCTTGTCATGGAGATGATACTGTTCAGAAATTTCAGAGACTCCGCTATCCAGTTGGGAAGGAAAAACATCTCCAACACAGTATTACTGATGGTTCACTTTCTTGTCCACTCAAACACATACTCCTACTTCAGAATAAATTAATTACCAGATGCTTCAAAAGTACTGACATGTAGATAGCAAAAGAGTTTCTTATAAAAAAGTTGCAAAACTATAAAAATTTCTGCAGCAGTTCAGGCTCCTAATGTCTGGAGCTCCTGATAACAAAGCTGGTTCCGATACGCAGTTCCTTTGACGTGAAGAGCACCTTCCCCTGGAGTCTATGCTCTAAGGGTTCCTTTAGACCACGGGAGGTTGAAACCCAAGTTTCAAGGACTCCTTGCTGACAAAATGTGGTATATCTATCAATGGAATACTATAGCAATAAAAAGGGACAAACTACCAACACAAGTTAAACATCATGGATAAACCACAAAATATGCTAAGTGAAAAAAGCCAGAGGCAAGAGAACAGATTTTGTATGATTCCATTGACATGATGTCCAGAAAAGGCAAGTTTATAGAGATGGAAATTAGTGTCACTTAGAGCTGGGAACAGGGATTACTGTGCAATAAATGAAGGATCTTATTGGGGTGGATGAAAATGTTCTAAAACAGTTACGGGTATGGCTGTGCCACTCAGGAAAGTTACTAAAATCATTCAATTTAACACTTGAAATGTGTGGATTTATTATATGTAAAATATGCCTCAATAATTTTTTTAAAATAACCCTGCCTCCCGAACAACCCATCAAGCACTAAACATTCCTGAGGTTCACAATCAAGGGCAGGATTATCACTTAGTGTTGAGTTCAGAGAGAAAACACTGTACCATTTTATGGTAAACTGCCTAGGATGTTTCTTCATTATAAAATAAAAGGTCACCTGTAAGTAGTCCCAAAAATGAGCCTCCTAGTAATAACAAAATCTAAGGGGGCTTTTTCTTTTAGAATAAAGATGGTGCATCTGTACCTTTGCAGATTTCTTTTTTAATCCCCTGGGGTGGGGTGGTGACTCTTGGCTGACACCTTGTGGAATTCAGTGTACTTGGCTGTCCTGTTCCTAGGACTCCCATAAAAACTAGACTGACAGGGGCGGCGGGGGAGGGGGGGGGGGAACGGACACACAGAAGTTGGCGGGTAGGCAGAAGGTCAAGTAGCAAGCATAAAACCTGAGTGTTGCCTTCAGTCAGCCTCCTACTGCCCTGTTCCTTGTCACCAATTATAGCTGCAAGATGGGAGAAATAAAAACAGAAGATTAAAAGCAAGGGGCGGGGGGGGGGGGACTTTCAAAATTGTGACTAACAAAGTCTGAATGAAATTCACACGACAGCAGAGCAGTGGCTGAAGAAAGTACTCCGCGAACTACAAAGGCAGAGGGACCAGAAGAACTAAGGATCCCCATGGGCAACGAGGGGGCAATGATTCACTTGGGAACTGCAAGCAGAGGTAGGAGGAAATGAAGGTTCCCAGTGTACAGCAGACCTGGGTCACCTCTCCTGTTCTTCCCACCCACCTCCTAAACAAATGAGGTTTGCATTATCCCCAAGGAGAGTGCTGGGGGGTATCTCCACATCTTAGTTAAATGTCTGGTCTCTTCTGCCTGTTCCCGTACCTCAGCATCACCTAAACCAAGGAACATTAATTTGCTGGTACCCTTATCGAAGACCACTTGCCCCTTCCAATCAAGCAGGTAGATTCCTGGGCTCCTAATGTTTCTACAGTGTTTGCAACAGCACTAATATAAGAAGATTCAGTCAAGCCATTTCCTTTGGCTACTTCAAACGACTTTCCTCTCTGACATATCATTGCCAGAGTATCCAACTGACCTCCTTACTTCTAAGCCTCTCTGAAATCAAGACAAAACTTTGACATTGTAACAATACACAATTTGAAAAATGTTTAGTATTTCACTAAAAACATTTTTAAGCCATAGAGTTAGCATCAGAACCTGAATTTAAAAGATCCCAGCTATTTTAACTTTGGAAACCGAGGTGCTACAAAGGTTCAGCCTTTTATGATTTTGTTTTATTTGACCTAATATAACCCCCCAAAAATCATCTGCTGTAAGCAGAAACTGGCCCAAAGACCCAAAGTTGCAGGTGCTTAGGCCTAGGCTGTGCCCATCAAGTTTTCTGCTGTAGATCTCTGGCCTGGAGAAACTGAAAAGGCATTTCCTTTATTTTTATGTTTTTCTCCTTGAAGAGCAAGAAATAAAATAATTTTCATCTTGGAGTTTTAGAGTTCAATAACCACAAAAATCAGAAAGTAATCCCTAATAAACTAACACTGAGACCAACCAGAATTGGCAACCGGTAAAAATGTATGTTCTGTTTCTATAAAAATTCTCAAACTTCCAGTTGCCAATAAAAAAAGAGTTTCAACAGAATAATGACTGAAATTCAACATCAAAGTGATCACTTATAAATAACAGCCCACCATTAAAGGGTAACGGTGTCCAGCCTGGCTGGCACCCAGACCCTCTCCTATGAGATAGAGGCTCCCAGCCTTTCCCGGTCAAGGTCCAACGAGACCCAAATGCCTTTTTTGCTAAGAAACTGGCAAACACTAACTATAGCTGAGCCTGTGATCTGGGTAACAGCTGTGCTCCCACCTCACAACAAAACAGATGAAGAGTTGAGCTATAAGAGGAGCCACTGGAAGCCTCAGCCTAAACATTTAAAAAGGGGTCATATTGCGAGCTGCTTCCTGATCCTGGAGTCAGCACACTCTGGAAAATCCAGCCCTCAGGTTCACTGCTCACTTGGCAGGAACATTTCGTAGTCCTGCCTAAATATGCCTTGTGACAGTACACTGAAGACTGACATCCAAAGTGGAGCCCCAGACGGAAAGACAAGCCCGCTGGACTGCACCACCTAGCATTATAGCCTGTCCTGGTGTCAGAAGAGCTAGCCTTCCGGATGAAGAAATGGCTAGACCTGGATCCCGGTAGCACTTTCCTGACTGGAGCACACAAGAACCCATTGTACTCTGTGACAGCAATGCCCAGATCTAGAAAATGTCTCTCTGCAATCACAACCTTTCCTACCAATCTCTCTCCCACATCCACATACTTAATTTGCACAGACTTTATTTCAGGTTACAAGATCTTTTCCTGATATGTCTATCACGCAACATTTCCAACAGCCTTTATAATTCTGAGCTTGGACAAGCTACTGGAGATGAAAGAAAAGCGGCCCCAGAAAAGAGAGACTTCTAATCCTGCACTTCCACGGCCCTCTCCTTGTTGCAGGCAACAACCCCAGTTGGAAGCTGACGCTGTAATAAAGAAATTCCTTTGTCCATACACCTCCCTAGAAAACAAGTGAGAGTTCCATTCTTTTGAGGTAAAGGCTTTGGGAATGAATGTGCACGTCTGGCAATACAAGCTCCCTATGATATGTGACCTAACAAGGAAGGTCAGTTCAAATAATGCCGTCCAATAGACTCACATAAAAAAACGCTGTGGGTTTGTATTTTAAATCTGACCTTAGACTGTGGCTGTTCGTAACATCAACAAGGAACTCCTAAGAAAAAGGAGAAGTTCTTAAGCTTTCCAGATCCTAGTCTTTTCCTTCCAACCTCTCTCCCACATCCACATACTGATTTTGCACAGACTTTATTTCAAGTTACAAGATCTTTTCCTGATATGTCTATCCACAACACAGGAGCAGTCACACAAAGCCACCGTCCTCCAGGCCCTGGAAGTCCTCATCCTGGGAGAATGGCCAGGAACTGACGCACTCTCTTTTAGAACTGACTCTGCCACCTACATCTCTGTCACACAAAGGCAGCACCTGGTACCCAGTTTAGTTCCCTGTATCAGCAAAAAAGCCCCGTGACTTACAGGCAGGAAAGACAAAAGGAATGTGCCCAGGGGCCCAACCTACAAAACTTACAAAGCTGGGCATGTAGGAACAGCAAAATGTTATAACTGCCGAAACTATCCCCGTGGGTCACACAGCCGCCTGGGTCAAGTAGGACTCACTCCTACTAGGCTTTTTTTTTTTTTTTTTTTTTTTTAGTTCTTTTGCATAATTCTGTAAAGTGGGAGAAGCATCAAAATTGTGAACTGAGCTTCTTGCTAGTGTCCTAAAAAATATATTTACTTATAAAAGTGCATAAACCTTTCCAAGAAAGTAATATACCAAAAGGACTGAGTCTTCATGGGCTGGGAAAAACAACTGTCAAAATAAACTTAAGACACACTAACAGGATTCAAGGATGGCTTCTCCAGGCTGAAGCTGCTGGCCAGCATAGCATGCCTTTCACACACCTTTGGTAATAATATCTTTTCTTAAAATCAGAGTAGGGTGGGGGTGAAAAGGAATATGGGACTAGATACCATGAAAGACAAAGAGGCAAATCTACCTACGTGCTCCTGTACCTTGTAAATGATGAGTTTGATGGTAGCTGTAAACAGGCTTAAGAGTAGGCCAACCGTAACTGTATGACTCAAGTGGCAATAACCATCACAGTTTTCCCCTTGAATTTACAACGTTCATCAACATCAAAAGAGTTACTGTAAACCAATACTTTATAAGTCCGTGTTTTCTTGAATGGAGGTTCAAGGCAGGAAGACATGGGCTCAGCAGGCAATTGGTAATCCCAGTTCATTGCAGAAAGCCCTCAGGGGTCGCATAGTTGCAAAGGCTGGTTTAAAACACCTGCTTCTTCCACTCATCCCTCTTCCCATCCAGCTTAAAAGACTCAGTAGTTTTCTAGGTGCTCACTGCCCTTGCAAGCATACAGCAGGGTGAGAGGGCATTCGTGTAAACACCCAGATTTTCTTGGTCAGCTTATTGAGCTTATTCTGTTTAAACACACATTGCAGAACATTCCTGATGAAGGGGGGGCGGGATTGCAAAAATTTCCCTAACTCAAAAAGGCAAAACCTAATAATGATAATAATAATAATAAACTGCTCAAAAGGAAAGTCAGTAGAACAAAAGAGAAATACTCAGAGGCTTGTAGAGTAAGACTGAGCACGTTTAGCTACTCCAGTCACAGTGTTAAGTTAAACTACTATTCCCCTCCCCAACTGTGCATCCCTAGCGCCCCCCCCCTCCCCCCTTCAGCTCTGCCTTTTTGTGCGGCACTGTCCCCAGATGTGGGGACATACAAGTCCTCCTCAAAGTTTCTGTCAGCTCAGTACTTCACTCCTGGAATAAATTCCTTGGCATCCGGGTTCAGGTTACTTTTGCTCTGAAATAAGAACCAAGAGATAATAAATCCCACGGCAAACTGTACTTTAAAACTTATTTTCTCCCTGTCTCCATTATTACCAGTGCCTTCCCCTCAGCCTCAAGAGAGAGAAAAACAGAATTCCTGCAACTCAGCTCACTACTGCTGGGCTGGTCTCCGTGGCCCCTGACATACTAAGCCCTGACCAACCGCACTGTCTCCGTCCTGCTTCAGATTTCTGCTCCCTTTATGATGCTTTCATTAGGGGCTTATAAGTTTGACTCCAAAAATAATTCAACTCATTGAGCACCCTAATCTGATGAACATCAGCGAACTCCATCAAACCAGTTTGATTACCACAATCCCTATGCACATGTATCTTTCTTTATCTTGCTGTACTCTCTTTGGTTCTCTGCTCTCTTGTGAATACCCAAATCTTAGCAAACTATGGCCACAATCATTCAGACCATGAGTTGTGTGAGAACTAAATCACTCAGAATTCCATAGGGAAACATGGAAGGCAGGGAATTATTTACCCAGTCTTCTAATTTTAAGTGGAAAATGGCCTCTAATGAATATGTTCCTTCCAAAATGAAGTTTTTATAACAGCATCATTCAAAATTACAAATGCAGATTTGAGGGACAGTAAAAGAAAAGAACAGCAGCAAATTATAATTTAAAACCAAATCTTGCCCTAGCTGGTTTGGCTCAGTGGAAAGAGCATCAGCCTGTGGACTGAAGGGTCCCAGGTTCGATTCTAGTCAAGAGCGTATGCCTGGATTGTGGGCTCGATCCCCAGTAGGGGATGTGCAGGAGGCAACCGGTCAATAATTCTCTCTCATCATTGATGTTTCTCTCTTTCCCTCTCCCTTCCCCTCTGAAGTCAATAAAGATATATTAAAAAACAAAAACAAAAAAAAAAACACCTTTTCTATGTTCAAATTTTTATCCTTAATCCCAATTCTATTTTGAAAAGCCCATTGGGAAAAATGAAAGTTGGTGATGCTGTAACATTGATGTTTTCACAATGCTTTATCAGGTGAATGCATCTTCAATGTACCCAACTATTAATGCCCCCAAGGTAAGTGAAGAATAGCGGCTTAGAGGGCTCCAGGGATTTTGCCCAAGGTAGTAGTGCCAGGAAGTAAGACTGTGACTACAAATCCCACATTCTCACTATGTCACATGTGGAACTACTTATGGCTCTTACCAAAATATCTTCAGAATCATGACCATTGCTGACAGATAGTCCATTTAACTGCTGTTGCAACTGTCCCATGGCCTGAGGCAGGTCTCGTGATGGAATAAACCAGTCTTGGTCTTCCTCGTCCAGCATCTCCTGGAAGCACCGGTCCAAGAAGTCCTGCTCCAGCAGCTCCTCCTCCACCTGACAGCAAAAGTGCAAGCTCAGACTCACCCTCCCAGAGGCACTCGTCCCTTCCAGGTTTAATCTACCTCTTCGTGTTAGAGGTTTACTCCAAGATTAAGAATGATCTTGCATGAGATCTACTAAGAATTAAGATGCTTCTAATGACTGGCTGGACAGAATATAAATTTTTTAATTGTTAAGTTCCATTAGCAATAAGACTAAAGAAATAGTTATTCAAAATAGCAGAAATTCTTCACAGATCATCTAAGACCTCTAATATGTGACACAGATATTTTCCATTCACATGGCACTTACCAAAAATCTTTTTTTTTTTTGTAAAAATATTTTTTTATTGATTTCAGAGAGGAAGGAAGAGGGAAGGAGAGATAAAAACATCAGTGATGACAGAGAATCATTGATTGGCTGCCTCCTGCATGCCCCCCACTGGGGATTGAGCCTGCAACCCGGGTATGTGCCCTTGACCAGAATCAAACCTGGGACCCTTCAGTCTGCAGGCTGATGCTCTATCCACTGAGTAAACCAGCTAAGGCCTGAAAATCATTTTTAAAGCTTAAAATTCTTTTCTCAATCTTATTAAGAAGGAACTTTTCTCTAAATTTCCCATTTTACAACTATGAAAAAGGTATAGGAGCTATGTAACTAGACCACTACCTGGACAGCAGACAGTAAGTCAAAACCAACTCTCAGCTTCTGGCCCACTTTTCTGGTAATGAGGCCCCTAAGGGTGAAAAATACTTTCAGAACCTCAGAAAAATATAAAGAACACTTTTTGACATACCAATAGAAAATGATTTCATCAATGTAATATTCTTTCAAAACAAGAAACAATATAAGCCCTGGCCAGTGTGCTCAATGGGTTGGAGTATCATCCCATATACCAAAAGGCTGCAGGTTCGATTCCTGGTCCAAGCACATACCCAAGTTGTGGGTTTGATCCCCCGTCAGGGTTATGTGCAGGAGGCAGTCGATCAATGTTTCTCTCTCTCTCTCCCTTCTTCTCTCTCTCAAAACCAATGAAAGCATGTCCTCAGATGAAGATAAAAAAAAAAAAAAATACTATGAATATTGAAACAAGTCCATATTTCTTAAAGATTGCCCTAACTAAAGCAATATGTATCTCAGATATTTTATACCTGTTTACAGTCATTGACTATTAATTCTTATGAAAGAGTTCAATCTGCACACTGTGTGACTTTAATAGGCCTCCTGCCTCACATTTGGCCATCTCCTGCAGCTGGCCTGGTGACAGATTCACAGCTCACTCATGCCACTGCCAGGGAGGAGTCAAACAAAAATCATCACCCAAACTAGCCAATACAGTTAACACCTCATGAATTCAAAGGAAAAGTCACTGATAGCAAGACTCAAAAATAGTATTTCAACATTATAGTTAGCAACATTTTTAAATAATTCAAGTAAATTAGAAAGTTATGAAGTACTTAGCAATAACTACAAAATATTTCTAAGCCACAAGATTTAACCTAATTGTTCAAGATCTGCCCTGACTCCCCCCAAAAGTGTTCCCCTTATTAAATTTATCCTTATCCACAGGCACAACCCTCAAAAACGGTTACCTGGGTCACACAGGGGTGTGACCGAAGCATGATATATATGCTACTCACACAAATCATGACACCGTGAGCCACTTGGAGTGGAAACTGCTGACAGTATCCCCAAAGCTTGTTTTCTTCTTCTCTCAGCAACAGGCTGCTCAGTTAATACTGTATTTCCCATCTCCGTGCTAGACATGGCCAGTAACTATCAAGTGATGTCCCCAGAAGGGATGGGAGCACTTCGCATCACTTGGTGAAAAGGAGATCCCTTGCCTTGGCTTTTGACTCTCCCTTTCCCAGTGGCTAGACTTCCCATTTTCCTTCAGTTATTTACTAGTAGCTGATAAGTGCCCTGGAGGTGCAAAGCAACACCATGGAAGGAACTATGTGGTCCCACCTATCTACCTGGAATGGCTTACCTTGGGCTATTAACGTTACAGAGAGAAGACACTGCTGAATCTTTGTTGAAGCGGTCTAGCCTTCCCCCACCCTACTACACACATACCAATCTCAGGCTCACATTCTGCCAGTCCCTGGGTTCTTGACTGGGGCATGCCAGGCTGGCCTGTCTGCACAAATCTGCTGTTTCTCAGAAGTCTATACCAGATCACCATGGCACTAGATCCTCTTTTAATTAATGTGGCAGAAAAATATCATGCTCTTCCTCCAAAGTACTACCTGGTCTTTTACCAGTTGAAGGTGTTTCCTGGTCAGCTCAGACTATGCCTCCACGTGTTTTTAAGTTATTCTAAAGCCGAGGAACCCATTTCTTTTGTAACAGAACTACAATAAAGTATAGCTGCTGAGTCACACACATCATTGTCCTTCCTCTTCTTTCTTTACCTGTCTGTTAAAATCCTCTTCATTCTCCATCCACATGTACTCTGCAAATGGGTTTTCTTTCTCATCGTGCCCATTTAACACCTGGTCCTCTTTGGATTTTACATTGGGTGATGTATTTGCCACACTGGATCCATTCATTATGATAGAACCTAAACAGAAACAAAAGAAAAGGTAAAATGTTACAAGAATCAAGGAAATGAAAACCTATAATATCCAGATTCTCCCAGAAGCTTCTGAAGTTCTAAGTCCAAGTTATTAACTACAGATGAACACAAACTGCTAATCTGTATCTGTTACAAAACTAATATCTTATAATTATCAATTATACAGATGTACAATTCTTTAAGAGTTAAAAGAAAAATATGCCTTCTTTCTGCCATCTTGGAGTCTACAGAGTCTGCTGGGAACAGGACTTCTGTAACAATAAATATCTCTGGAAGGCCATTTTTGCTGACTATAAGTGGGGTTTCCAGAACCAGAGGGAGCACACAGCTCTTCTTAAAATTGAAGGTGTTTAGTCTGAGCCTGCGTGGCTCAGTGGTTGAGTATCAACCTATGAACTAGGAGATCATAGTTTGATTCCCAATCAGGGTACATGCCGGGGTTGTGGGCTTGGTCCCTAGTGGGGGGCATGCAGGAGGCATCAATGATTCTCTCTCATCACTGATGTTTCTATCTCCCTCTCCTTCTCCTTTTCTCTCTCTGAAACCAATAATAAAAAAAAATGTTTTTCAAAAAATTGAAGGTGTTTATACTTGAGATGAAACTAAATTCTACCTAGGCAAGAGATGTGCTTATGTGTACAAAGCAAGAACACCACAGTGACTCCTGGTAGCAAATGGAGTAAAACCAGAGTAATCTGGGGAAAGGTAACTCGTGCTCATGGAAACAGTGGCATGGGTCACGCTAAATTCCAAAGCAACCTTTCTGCTAAGGCCGCTGGACATAGAATCTGTGTAATGCTATACCCCCCAAGGATTTACACTTATTGAAAAATAAATAAATAAATAAAATGGATTTGTTCTCTTGTAAAATAAATAAATAAATAAATAAATAAATAAATAAATAAAAAAGGGGGGAAAAACAACAACAACCATGTCTACAGTTAGTTAGCCTTTCTAGCAAGTGAGAAGGAGGATGAATCTTTTCAAGGCAAACTCTGTAGGTTTTAGAACCTAATCATGATCACATGGCTTCCTTAAAGTTTAAATAAGTAAAGGAAAGCGTTCTTAATAAACATGGTAAGCAACTGTCTCTTATTCTGATTCTCAAGATTGGTTTTATTTAGAACTTATTTCAAAAAAAATACATGTTTATTATATTGATAAGCAAAAAAGAGAAAATTAAGGTCACCAGCTGTTCAACCAACCAGAGTAAAGAATCATTAACAGTGTGGTGCATATAACCTCCCTGACTTCCCCTGAGTGTATTCAGATACACAGACACACACACATGATGTACCATCATTTGCTTTTTCTCATCCATATGATAACACAGCCATATTGTTTTTTGGGGTATTTTAATGTTTCTGTATTATAAAAGTTTGACGAACTTCTTGGGCTCATTTAAAAAAAATGATTTCCTTAAGATAGCTCCTAGGAATAGAACTGCTATATTAGAAGTTACATTTGTTTTCTTAAGGCTCTTGATTTATTGCCACATGGTCATAAGAATTTAAATTCCCATCAGTAGTATATAAGTGCCTGTTCCTCTGCATTCAGGAGTATTATTTTTTAAGCCACTACCAATCTCAATTTATTACTTACATTTACAGTTCTTTAATTTTTAATGAGGCTGAATATTTTGAGATATACTTACTGGCCCTTTATATTTCTTGTTTTATAATGTTTTTGCTTAAGTACTTTGCCCATTTTTCTATCAGGGTATATATCTTTTCCTTATCTTTTGAAGAACGTTTATTATTTTTATAATTTTAATTTTTCATAAAATAATTTATAAGTACAAATATTTGATTTGCTTAATTTTGGTAGCCGTTTTGCTGGCCTTAATATTTGTCTATGGCAGTGGTTCTCAACCTGTGGGTCGCGACCCCTTTGGGGGTCGAACGACCCTTTCACAGGGGTCGCCTAAGACCATCGGAAAACACATATATAATTACATATTGTTTTTGTGATTAATCACTATGCTTTACTTATGTTCAATTTGTAACAATGAAATTGGGGGTCACCACAACATGAGGAACTGTATTAAAGGGTCGCGGCATTAGGAAGGTTGAGAACCACTGCTCTATAGCTTGATGGAGGTTTATAAGTTTTGTAACTCATCTGAATATTAAGTACTCCATAAATATTGGTGAATCATTACTCAGGAATCATTACTTTCCCATTCTATTTAAATACCATCCGTTTAAATACCATCCACACCCCATCCCCCTTGGGGCACCTTTAAGTTTCTTTAACAAATTATTTCCTAATTCATTTCCATCTTGGCAACATTCATGAAAAAATCCTTTGCTTCTTCTGTGTACGCTAAAAAATTATTGCTTACTCCCCTTTAAAATATTTGCAATTTTCTAACCTGTTATGGACATTAGGTAGAACTGTGAAGAATAAAGAATAGCCAGTAAAACAACTATTGATAGTTTAAAAAGTATTTCATTTATGCCCAGCAGCATGGCTCAGAGGTTGAGCACTGACCTATGAACCAAAAGGTCACAGTTCGAGTCCCAGTCAGGGCACATGCCCGGGTTGCGGGATTGATCCCCAGTAAGAGGTGTGAAGGAGGCAACAGATCAATGATTCTCTCTCATCACTGATGTTTCTATCTTTCTCTCCCTCTCCCTCTCGGAATTCAATAAAAAAAATATTTTTTTAAAAAGTATTCAATTTAAGACAGAACCCATTTAGTTCACTGTTGGTATAAACAGGCACCTAGTAAGAAATTATCAGTTTTACATATTTTAGATAAAGACAAAAGAAATCAATAATAACAGTCTGGTGCTCCATTATTTGCTTTTCCTCATTTCTATGTTAATAAAGCCCTACTGTCCTTCGCAGTGTTTCCAATGTTTCTACATTACATAGGCTGCTTTTATATTCCAAATCCAGCTCCATAATAAATCCCTCCCTCAGGCTATAGAAGAGAGAAAACCATTTCCTTATTTTTACCACTTCCATTTGCAGCATAACAATGACAGAAGCAAGTCTGCTCTGTATCAGTGGGTTATTCCTCAACACAGCGACTCTTAAAGGTCCGGATCCTTGCTGGGTAGCAGGTTGCACAGCATCATCGTTCCAAAGATTCACTGGCAGCTGTTTACAGCCAACACAATGATTTATCCTTATTAATAGGGAAGTCATTCATAGGAACTCAGAGTTTAGTTTTCTAAAACATCTGCCTTTGCCCAAAAAATAAATCCTGAGTACACACAACCATAAGGAAAAAGGGAAGGCAGAGGAAAAAAGAATAACTTAATTCAAGAACAAGGAGGAAGACAGAGAGCAAATTGCAGGATGCACTCGTTCATGAGAAATGGAAAGGAAAATTACCATAATCTCACATGGAGACGTTCCCCAAATTAACACACTTTATTTTAGCAAAGCTGAAATCAGTGAGAGCTGGGGCTGCTAATACTAGGAAAGTGGTTTCCTTACAGTTGGCTACGCAGTATCGATTTGCACTTTATACCATTCTACTTGTGTTTTCCACACAATTGGAAAGTTTGGTTTCTCTTAAATAGCAGCAACTTAATAATTTAATTTGTATAATGTTTAGCAATTTATCAAGTACTTTCACATCTATTGTCTGACTGCCTCATAACCTGTCTTGCCTCACTTTATTTTTTAAAAATATATTTTTATTGATTTCAGAGAGGAAGGGAGAGGGAGAGAGAAAAACAACAATGATGTGAGAGAATCATCGATTGGCTGTCTCCTGCATGCCCCCCACTGAGGATCGAGCCCACAGCCCAGGCATGTGCCCTTGACTGGAATCCAACCTGGGACCCTTCAGTCTGCAGGCTGACGCTCTAACCACTGAGCAAACTGGCTAGGGCTGTCCTGCCTCACTTAAAAAACCCATCCAGACATTGCTATAGGAGGAACAAAGAAGGTACCAGATTCAGGGGTTAAGCAAACTGAGTTGCTGGGTTAGTTCAAGAACACTGGATTTGGGCTTACTGGGTGACAGTGCTTAATGTGCCCCTGACCTTTTTATTTTTTTATTGTTTTATTGCTTAAAGTATTACAAAGGGTATTACATATGTGTCCTTTTTTTCCCCCCGCCCTTGCCCTGACCTTTAGTAGGAGGTGGGAATGGGAGAACTTTGCTGGAGACTAGAGACTCCTAGGTAAGGCATTTGAGGAATGCCTTCCAACTTGGGAAAGACACTGGGTAAGATAGGATCGCTGCCCGTAATGTCCGACTTTCCGGCTTCCAGAGTTTAATGTAATGTTCTCCTCTATTCCCAGCTCCTCTCCAGCTCGCCATCCTCCATGCACACCCTCTAAGAGCAGTGTTTCTCTAACCATCCTACCCTGACCCTCAATCCTCACCCATTCCAATGCACATCATTATGATACTGTAGTGTAGTGGGGATAAAGAAAATGACTCCAAAGCTTCCAAAGATGGGGGAAATGCTTGATTCTACAAGGAGGATTACAGATCAGAATGGCTCCACGTGGTCAGCTATGCTATGGAGAGGCCCATGTGGCCAGGAACTGAATCCTATTATCACCATGTGAGTGAGTTAGAAGTTCATCTTCCCCCAGTCAAGCCTTCAGATGAGACAGCTGTCCCAGTTGACAGCCTGACTGTAACTTCATGGGAGACTCAGAGGTAGAGGCATCCAGCTAAGCTGCTTGCAGATTCCTGACCCTGTTGTTTTAACCTGCTAAGCTTTGGGGAAGTTATTACATGGTAACAAATAAGTAATACAGGTAATCAATAAACAATGACAACTAGCTCTGCCACACAAACTACCAGCTGCTACACTGTTTCTCTTATCTACTGAGAGGGCAAATGTGCAATTTGAAGTGGGTCATTGCTTGAGAAGTTCTTTAGAATTAGACCAACAGAAGATAAAGGAGTTTATGTCTAGTCTGTGTCTATATTGCAGTATAAAATCTAAGAACTACTTGAAACTTATTCCCTCCCCACCTCACTTTCCCTCATATACACTGCAAACAGG